GTTGTTCTCGGCAAGAAGAGTGGGAACATATTCTCATTGTTAATGTTGTCTGTCGCACGTACAGTACTGGTTTGCATAAAAAAGAGGCACGGGGCTTCAAAAGCTACGGTGACGACTTTTAAATATGTGGAGGGCGGCCAAGCAGCAAGTGCTGCAGAGGTAGTGTGAGCAACCTGTTTAAGAATCCGCGAATGTAAAATGTTGCATACATGTGTGGAGATGTCCGGGTGTTTAAACGGCAGGCGGCCCCAGCGAAACCTTCACAGAGGTACTAGAGGATTGAATACATGACGCAGTTCTCTGGCACGAGACAAAAGAGAGTGCCATGACTTACCGGATAAGATAGGTCTGCGATTGCCATTGATTGGAGCTGTATTCTCTGCCTTGGAGTTGATACCTGAATCTTCAACTATTAGTATTACTGTTGTTATTGTTATATTGTTATATTGTTATAGTGTTACATGGTTTGTGCACATGTTATACTGTTATATTGTTATATTGTTGCATTGCTGTATTGTTGTATTGTTAGATTGTTAGAATGTTATATTGTTAGATTGTTATATTATTATACGGTTATATTGTTATATTGTGTTATTGTTATTGTTACTGTTATTGATATTTTGGTTGTCATTATTATCATCAGTACGGCTAGCAGCGTTCTTATCGCAGCTGGAAACTGAGAGCCTTTAAACGCAGCTTAAAGTGCAGGCGTATGTCACGTGACTCCGTGTCGCGAAAATGATGCACTTTCCTGCATATTGGGCACTTGGATGGGTGGGCTTCGTGCGTTACCCATCGGGATTTGCATTTCGCGGTGTTTCGTCAATGGCGCTCTCGCCTCGGGTGAAGTGTGCGCCTGGCAGTCCCTAAACCTTGAATCCTTAACCCACCCTAAACCCTACACCCTGCGTTCTTGGAGTGCCTCTTTGGGATCATCTTGGAGTGCTGCTGAAGTGGTCTTACGTTGTGTGGGGTCTACGCCGGCATAAGCAACTTTGTAAACAACCTTATCCAATACAAAACAAGGTTCTAACTTTTGCATCTTGCATATCGATTCCTTACGTTGCGAGCCTGTGCGAGCGCTGGCTCAGAAAGTGTTGTGGAGCAGTCAGAGGTCACGGACTTTCTGAAGTTTCGTTTCGCTTCCATTTCGGCTCGGCTGCACCAGTGCGCATTCACTTTCGTAGCATTTTCTTAAAGGAGAATTCTCAATAACTCCGGCTTTGCAGTGAAACAAAATATTAAAAGAAAGTGAGTGCTGGGCTTTCTTGATTTTCTCTTGGGTTGGTTTTCGGGGCTGGGGTGGCCTTTGGGGTTCCCTTTCTTATCCCATGTTTTCCTAAACAAAATCAGCGCGGTAATAGTCACAATTGTACAGAAAACACTAGGAAGTAAAGGAGTTCCCTAGTTCCTATTAGATTGCGTTTTGATTCTTTTATATAGTGCCCACAGCACTAAAGCATTGTAGCCCGTGGAGAAGTCTTTGCGTACGTCTTTTTCAGCCGACCTCCTGAACAAGTTCGGTTCACCGCCCGCCACCATGCTGGCGGTCTCCTCCTACGGGAGTGTTGGCACAAATTCGAGAAGGGGGCTGCGCAGCTTAGGTCAGCGCCAACTCTGACAAGGACGTGATAAAGTTCCTGTGCAAAAGCTGTTTTGGAAGTAATACAAACCTAGGAAATAAAAGAGACCCCTAGTTCAAACTGGCATTTCAATTCATTAATATACATTACTATGCATTTTTCAAAGACAAAAAACAAATGAGGAAACCAAGCAGGTCCATAATCCCCTTCGATTCTTTATTGTGATCCCCCTACTGACTTCAGAACCCCCCTAATTCGCTAAGACTAATTATCGGATACTATAGGTACCTCCTAATTCTCCCCTTCTGAAAGTAATCTTACAGGATTTTAGGTTTTCTGTGTTTAGTATTGATTATTAGCAGAGGGGGGCTTATTACTGGGGGAGGTAGTTACTGAATATTAGGGGAAATAGTTGCTGAATTCTGGCAGAGAGTTGGGCTGCTTTCATATACCTTGCATGGTGCATGGCGCCACCTTTTGCTGGAGGGGGCACAGATGTGACTGATGTAATTTTGTGACAATCCGATTCGGGTCGAGGTTTTCTATTGGGGCATTGTCTGTTGGGGTCGCACTTGGTCGTGGCGCCTTGCCGGCGCCCAAATCTTGTTTCTGCTATTGCAGATTCCTGAATTGCCAGGCTTCCACCATGTGTTGTCGGTGGGGGCCTTGGTGACTTCTCGCTGAAAACATCGTTGGGGCTCTGTAGCAATCTGGGATGACTGTCTGCAAAAGCCACGCCTTTAATCGGGCCTTCGTTTTCAACTTGTTCTTTTGCAATACCGGAGGCCTTCTGCAGGGGCTCCTGACGAAGGACCCGCTGACGCGATTGGGGCATGCAGACCTTCAACATCATGATTTCTTTAAGGCATGTTGCCACGGCCTGAGATCAAGATTTTTGAGCAGAAAGTCACATGCATTCCGAGCAGTTTGTGTTCCCTATGTTCCCTAGGTTGGCCAAAGCTCCTGAACAAACAGTACGTCGCGCCACATGCCTAGATCCCACCAGAAGACAAGATAGCAACGCACATAGTGATAAGCAGTGTTTTTTGTTCGCCGAGCTTCAGGCCATGGAAGCCGCCTCCTGAGGCAAGCCCCGTTTCTTCTGCTTCTGTTTGCGAGGCAAAGAAGAGAGGGAGAGAGAGAGAGAGAGAGGGAGAGAGGGAGAGAGCGAGAGAGAGAGAGAGAGAGAGAGAGAGAGTGAGAGAGGGAGGGAGAGAGGGAGAGAGAGAGAGAGAGAGTCATCCCCAAGATAGCCACATGAATGGACTTTACGGTTTGAGGTCAATGGTTAAGTGTGATCTCCTCATGTTAAGCACCCAAGATTGGTTGAACACGCGTCAGATGCAGGCAAAACACTTTCAAATCACAAGCGCTCGCAATTTCTTGAGTAGCCGAAAGTTGTAAGTTCTGACCAGAAACGCTGCGACAGTCAGTCAGTGAGGAACTTTTGGTACATCACATGATCCTTCAGAAAGTTCAGGATTCGGGTTGTGCAGCTTTCCTGTGCCAGGCCACTGCCACTGCTGGTGAGCGTGATCATCCGCCGCATTCCGCGCTGTCTGCAGGCCACGGCCTTTGAATTCGGGCCCAACAGTTGGGACTGTAAGGCACTGTGAAGAAGGGGCCTTAGTAAGCCGTCACCTTCTATCAGTTCGGCTGTGGGATTGTGTACACTACACGCGGTCTCTTGTCCTCGCAGCTTTGCCATATCCGGCAGGCACCTACATGCGTGCGGCTCGAGGCCCTTGTGCGTATCAGCGCTTTCTTTCGGCTTACTCCTGGCAGCCAGGTCCCCGGCCTGCTCGGAGCACTATCCTCGCTGCACTTGTCGCGATCTCAGGGGATTTTCGCATTTGACCGACCATAGACGGACGGCTTCAAGACTTTTGACTCCAAGCTTTGGTTTTGAATCCGTGGTGGAACCTGGTGCAGACGCCTGCTACCTGAGCTTCCTGCCTGGTCCTTGGTGCTGGGTTTTCGCTTTCCAGTTGCCATATCGCACACGGTATCTATCTCCGAGATGCGTACATCGCCCATTTCAGTCAAGCTTGAAGAAGAAGGTCACTCTGCTGGCACGACGGCTTCAGCTGAAGAACCAGGCCGGATGTGTCGAATCCTGCAGGCAGGCTGACCTGGGCCACTTGCCGTTGCCGCCTAGGTGACCGAGCCCGGCGTCACAGGCGAGGCGGTTTGCTTGTGGCAGATAAAGGCAGTGAGGGTTGCTGGATTGTCGTCTGTAAGAGGGTCCAGGGGCTTGGATGGAGACATGAACCGGATGTCTGAACATGACAGGGTTTGCATGCTGTTGCCTGGCACCGGATTTCTCGCCGAAGGAGGTGGAGAAGGCCTGGAAGCAGGCGGTGGTGTGGCGCAAGCAGCAGGAGAAGGATCGGGCTGAACAGCCCGGCAAGCGGTGAAGAGGACGAGAGCGAAGGAACAAGTTCTTTGAAGTTGCATTTTTCTGTGGCAGCTGCATGTTCAGGCCAAGCTGCACGTGTAAAGAGGAGTCAACTGTGCCAATAATCTCACATTCCGTGGACCGGGATCCTCTCTCTTGCACAGCTTATGATCGATGCAGAAGTCTCCTACTCGCTCCTTGTACGCACACAAACCTACAAGAGCACAAATCAGGCAAGCATGGATCCCATCCACGTCCTGCGCCGCTTTCGAAGGGTACTTCGACTTCGCAGGTGTGCATCCACGGGCTCATCATCCCGTGCTCAACCAGCTCGAAAAAGCAGATCCTTATGGCATGACCCTACCACGACCCCCCGGCCACAGCCAAAGTTCGCCTGAGTCTGCAGTCCGTAGAGTTTCGGCTTGAAGGGTGTTTCGGGGCTGAGCCTTTTTGTACTGAGGCAGGGTTTCCCGATCACAATTGTTGTTTGTGCTTAACCTTCTGACCCAGGCTGGGCAGTGTCATGTTTCAATAGCGGGGCGTGTGCGGTGTGTAGACCAAACTCCGAAGTGCAAGCGATACCATGCAGGGCACGGCTGTCTCATTCGGATCTCAACGACGTCAACGACGGGTTTGGGTTCGAGATTTCAGGGGAGTTTCTACTGGGGTTTGGGTTGCAGGTTTTTTGGGGCTGTGCTTAGCTTCTGTTTTCGATTGAGGTTTTAGGGGTTTCTCGTTTGGTCATCAGGGCTTGCAGCATTTAGGTTCTTTAAATGATGCTTAGCGGCAGTCATCATCTTCGGCGGGCCGAATCATGAAGTAGGCGTTTGGATTTAGCAGCATTGTTGCTTGGGATTCATGCTTCGGGTTGACGGGTGAGGGACTCTTATGGCAGCAGGCACAGTCCAAAAGTTAAGCAGTTTCGTCGGGATGGGGAAACTGCCTAGGAAGATTAAAGCAAACATTCCGCTTTACAGTGCGGCTCAAGATTCCTTTGTTGCATTGCAAGTGACGTTGCCATGGCTTCCCCGGATGCATCTCGTTTGCAAAGCCATTGAAGTTAAGGGGGCCGAGCAACTCCGAACTCTGCATTTGCACCAAAGTATCACGAATTATTGAAATCTTCTCGCTCCCAGATGTTAATCAGCTTGCGTGGCCTCTCGTCTTTACGGCCTTAAAGGATTTTGATTGGTTAGGCAACACTCTCTGTTTAGGATGCTTCGCTCTTCTCATGGCTTAATGGGATTTGTCTTGTCTAAATTAAAATAGCTCGAAAGTCAAGTACTCCAAAGAGGGTTAAGGTACTACCCTCTGTGCTCAGCGCATGCAGAACACTGGTAGTTCAGAATTCAGTAGACCAATGACCCCACAGTTTGCAGCTTTAGGGGTTGCGTTTAGCGGGTTGGGTTTAGGGCTTTCGCTATTCCGACTACGGCTTCCAAGGCTTCCGTTGAGGTTGTTGACTGCACCTCGAGCAGTGTAGAATCTGAACTGAAGGGTCCTGGCACGCAACTCGTGGATCCGTAGCCTCTGAAGGTATTCTTGGTGGTTTTTCGGTCGTAGCATACAGCAGTCCGGAAACCTTAAATGCTAAGCCGCCAAAGTCTTGTAACGGGTTTAGGGTTTAGGTTTTGAGGTTTAGGATTTAGGGTTTCGGCGCCAAGGTGGTCGTGCTACCGGTGAAGGTCGCCAAGCAGCGCAAGCCTCGTCCATCGCGGAAGGCATCAAGCGCAAACCCTAAACCCTTTTCAGAGTAATATAGGGGCCTAAAAGATTACCTATACCATGTTGGAAGCTTTGTATTATATTTGTAGATATTTGCGGCATAATGGGACCCAAAACCCTATTCAACCCTTCTCCAAGTGTTGAGGCCCCTATATTAGACTCTGTGGCTCCATGCCAGTAGCGCTCGAAGTGTTGCGGAGTGGCGCTTTCAGGTTGCTGCAATAGGGTTTACGGACCATCACTAATTCTTCAGTCTTTTCCTCTCCCCCTTAAAGTCAGGGATTTTCAGGACAGAGCTCTGGCTGTGCTGGTGCTGGTTAATGGTTTGAGAGACAGGAAGAGTCTTGAGGTGAATGCTGAGGTTGAGGTCGTAGGATTTAATTTAGGGTTAGGGCCAGGGTTTCGGGATTGCTGTGCTATTCAGAGAATGTTGAAGACGCCTCGTTGATGCAAGCTTGCTCGTTCAGATATTCGATGTTCCGCCTAGGCGGCTAAATGCTTGAGCTGCATACAGTGTTTTATGTGTTGACATTATTTATGGATCATCATTTTGCAAGTGTCGAATTTGCGCTTTTTTATGTACACTGCCAAGCGAGCAAACCGATCGGCAGTGCAATCCGAAGCAAAGCTTAGACCTAAACCCATAAATCCTACGGTTATGAGAACGGGTTGGAGCCAAACAATGTAAATCTTGGCAATCATTATTTTTAGGACAAATCATCCTCTTCATCATCCTCCCCCTCATCCTCCCCCTGCCCGCTGCCTGGTCTAAATTTACGCCCGATCATGCTCCCGATCATCCTCTCCATCATCCCCTCTCGATGTGCGGCCTCCCGAAAATTTACCTCCAAATTATCCTCTCCGTCATCCTCCTGATCGTCCTCCCTGACAGCCTCGCTGATTTCAACTCACCGCCCGATCCTCCTCCCGGTCATCCTCAGGTTATCCTCCGCAAGTTGAGTCTCGGTAAGTCTTTCCTTTGCTTTGTTGTTTAGTTGTTTAGCTACATTCGGCGACATACCCAAGTCTCCGCTGAAACTGTGTACTCCCCACGTGCTGTCAGGACCAACGTGGCACCTCCAAGACTCTAACGCTGTGCTTACACTGGGAATCACTAATCGTGAGTCGTCTAGTCTAATCGTCTAAGGTGGGGTGGGGGGTGGGGTTGGGTGGTGGGGGGTGGGGGGTGGGGGCGGTGGGGGATGGGGGTGGGGTGCGGTGGGGGGTGTTGGGGTGGGGCTTAGGGTTTAAGGTTTTGGCGGGTGGGGGAGTGGGGGGTGGGGGGTGGTGTGGGGAGGGGGAAGGGGCGGAGGATAAAATTTAGGTATTTTTTCCTAAATTTTTCCGAAATTTAATAAAATTTAGGAAAAATTTAGGAACAATTTACGAAAAATTTACCTAAAATTTATCCTCCGCCTCTTCCTCCTCCAAAAAATTTACCTAAAATTTATCCTCCGCCTCTTCCTCCTCCTCCTCTTCTTCCTCCTCTTCCTCCTCCCCCTCTTCCTCCTCGTCTCTCCTCCTCCCCCTCCCCTCCCCCTCCCTCCGCCTTCCCCCTCTCCTCCCTTCCTCTCCTCCCGCCCCCTTGGCAAAACAGCGACCCACTCGTCCTTTCCTGGGACAATGAAAAAACATGATGAAAAACAACTGGAGTGCAGCCAGGAAGACAAGCTAAGCAGAAGAGGGTAGGAGGAGGATGGAGAGTATAAACATGTGAGGGTGATTCCAAAAACAAGAAAACACAAAAAGCTTCGGCTATGATTCGGAAGCGGAAGCAAACAACAAAACAGGGAGGATGACCGGAGGATAAAGAGGAGGTAAAATAAGCTATAACTCCGAGGAAAACAAGAATAAGGAGGATGAAAAGGATGATAATCAGGAGGATAAACAAGAGTATAAAAAAAAAAAAAAAACATCACTCGGAGGAAAACCAAACCAGCGAGGATGACCAGGAGGATAAGGCGCAGGGAAATATAGATGATGACTCGCAGGAAAACAAAACCAGGGAGGATGAACCGGAGGATAACCAAGAGGTAAACTGGAGGTAAAAATAATTGTTTCTGGCGGCTCCAACGATTGGCCGGCCGGATTTCATAATCCTACGGGTTTCAGGGAAATACAACCTCTACACCCCCAAACCCTCTATCACAATAATTTCCAAACTTGAAGGGCTCTGCTTTGGCAATCGCAAAGTACTCAGAGTCCATGCTTCGGCGTAGTCAGACAACTCTGTGCGATTCAAGACAGGTCCGTAGGTCTGAGCCATGCACCGGAACGGTAGGAGGCTACATTGGGGTCGTGTCTGGCAGAGGGTCAGGGTTACAGAACCTATATAAGCCCACCGGAGCAGTAAAGCAATTGCCCAATGCCTACACACGCCATTTGGTACGGGCTGTGGGCTTTACTTTGGGGTTCGTTGGGTTCTGGACTTCGGGGCTTTGGATTTGGATAGGGTTGCGCGCTCATGATTTGGATCTCAGGGTTTACGGCTTACGTTTTTGATTTTAGGGTCTATCGGGTTTAGTGCCTGTTATACCTCAGCAAGCAAAGCTGGGAACACTTTCGCCAAAACGCATCAAGCTTGCTTGACAGGAGGGCATAATCGACAATGGTGCTGACAGCCGGGAGCGCGGGTTGCGGATCCAGGATTAAGACAACATAGCCTGAATATTTCCCAACACTATTATTCCCTTATGCTCCCAATAGACTCATATAAGCATAGAACAATACGCAAGGACCTTCTGCACCCCTGTGTTGGGCGCACTGGTGGTAGGCTGACAATTGTGGTGAACAGGGCTTGATGTTGCCGTAAATCCTTCGGGTTTGCACTGCTCGCCATCCAATGATATCAGCGCATGCAAAGCCGAACCCTCAACCTCAAAGTAAACCCTTAATTAACCCTACACCCTACCCTAAGGCCCCAAAGTAGTTCATTTTGGGGGCTCATATTAAGCATCCTACAAGGTAATCCCAGAAAGGAACTACTTTGGGGCCTATGGGTAAACCCGAAGCTAAACCCTCAACCCGACCCTCAACCCTCAACACTTCAGGTCTGGAGCACAACCGTCCAAGCTGGGCTAGGCATTCAGCAGGTTTAGGGTTTAGGGTAACAGTAACAGTAACAGTCCCCAAGAACCCTGAGGCTGGACGTTTCTTCTTGAGCCTGTCGCTCCCAAAACCCTAAGCTCTAAACCCTATGTCCTGAACCATCACGATGTTAATGTTTTTTGCGAGTTCCAGATTTGGCAAGCATCTTTTCTCAGAAACCTGGCTAGCATAGAACTCCTTCAAACAGGGGCTGTAACACTGTAGATCTTCTCGTGGGTCTCGTTGCTGCCTTGACAAATATATGAGCCGAAGGAGCCAGCCGGACCTGAGAAAGTAAAGCAAGAAGTGAAGAAGGAGATCGAGGCATCGAGATGTTAATCGCGACCTTGAGGGCTCTTCGTATTGCATGCGTATGCTAAGACGACGTATTTCGGCACTTGGCCCGACAGTCAGAACCCTTGGCAGTGTGTTTGGGGTTTAGGGTTTAGGGTTTAGCTTGGCTTTGGCAACTCGACTGCCGGCAGAGAGCCCGATGTCCGTTCGTGCGTTCTTCCTTCACAGCAGAATCTCAGAATCCCTTCCCCAAAGGCTGCATGTACCTACATAGTAGATACTTAAGCCCTGAAAGGGTCCCTATATAGGTACTTTAAGGCCTAAGTATATACTATGTGGGTACATGGAGCCTTAGGGTTCGGTCTCGGGAGGCAGACAAGCCAGCAGGCGAATTTCAAGGCCAAGGCCAAGACATCCAAGACGAGCTCCAGGCACGTGGCCGTCGTATCTTCTCATTTGGTTTTGCTGCTTGTGTTGGCGGCTTCCAGCAGCGGATTCATGGAGTACTATTTAGGCTTGTATCTAGGGCGTCGATAAGTATTTACACCCTTGCTGTGTTTTGTCGTGACTTTGGGCCTTAAAGCTGCCATCCCGTTCTGTTCATCACCGTCGCAGAAGAGTAACGTGGGTCCTGCTGCTCCTATTTTCACAAGAGGCTGGAATGGTGAGGCATCCTGCGATGCACAACCCCGAGTTGAAAGGCATTCTGTACGCAAACACAGGAGTGCTGTACCTTACCCCACAAAATCCTGAACCCCGCGCCCTGAACCCCAATTGAACCCTAAACCTCCAACTCTCAACCCTCTAACCCTGCTCAACCCTAGACTCCGTAATCCGCTTTAACTGTTAACCCTCAACTCTAAAGTGTCCCAAGTTCAAAGCCTGGAGGTGAAGGATGAAGTGAAGGAAGAAGTTGAGGCAGCTGCGTGTTCGATGAAGGTCTTGCGTGGCATTGAGACCATTCAGGCAGTTGAGTCACTACGAGCTTGTTGAAGCCTTGTCTAGGCGTGACTACTGAGTAACACTAGTCCTTAGGTTCTATGGTTACATAGTATACCTTGCCCCAAATTCCCATTCCAATTATAAATGCCCCGTATGGCTAGGGTGCTGATCTAAGGTAAATAGAATACTTTGCCCGAAGCCCGAACTTGCAGCAGACCTTGTGAAATACGATGAAGATCGATGCTAACACAGCTCGCACGAGCACCCAGTTGAGAGGATGACTACGCCGCAACATGGTGTTTGACACCACTGTAATCGATGCGGTTTGTTTAGAGTTGGTGCAGTCACCTGCAGCCAGCAAGTGGCATTTGATGCCTACAGGATATGTCGTATGATTCCCATGTGTCGTTTTATGTATGTGCTTTTTACGAATCGGAGAAGCCGTTCAGAAAGTGCTGGAAGCAAGTGTTACAGGTTGAGAAGGTTGTGGTCGTGGCAGGAGCGAGAAAACCATATCCACACGGTAGCCGAGACCAAGCTGGAAGTCAAGGAGGCGAGTGGGACCAAGCCTTTGCCAGATACATTCGTTGCTTTGTCCTTGAATGCTGGCTTCAACAAACACGCTTAGAAAGGACCGTCAAACCTGGTATAGTGTAGCTCTCGGATTCTCGGATGTCGGGTTCATCAGCTTGTTTTTGCTCTGCGAACCCGCCGCCGACTAGTCAGAAACTCCCTGTCCGTGCACAGCACCCGGCACGGTCGATCACGCATGATGCTACCCAGCGCTACTCGGCGGTATTGAAGCCAAAGTTCGATCCCACACTCACGCCCGACTCAAACGCGTAGTGTAGCATTTCTCGCGACATCATCCCCAAATCGATTTCAAAGAGCCGCACGTCTGTTGATAGCAACAAAAGAACGTTGCATTTCTGAAGTTCATGTGGCGCTCAAACTCAGTGGCCCGTCTGAGTGTTGTATAGTGCATGCGCTGTGCACGGCGAAGGTGTTGCGCCGAGTTTGTGTTGATTCAGTTTTCGTCGACCTCCAGAGCTGTTGCCAATTTCAGCGGTCTCAGACTCCAAACAAGCCCAAGCGGACACATGGGCTTTGGGTTGACGTCCCGAAGACATGCATGTTGGGAATCGCGGTGCGAGCTCGGCCCGGCACCGGCGAGATCGACATTTGCACATTCGGAAAGCTTCGACCAGTAAAAATGCCTGAAGGACCTGAAGACAGAGGTGAAAGAGGAGGTTCCGAAGAACAGAGAGCAACACGTGAAGACTGAGATCAAGGAAGAGCCTTTGAACGGCAATGATGAGCGAGTCAAGAAGGAGATCACGCCGAAGGCTGATGGGCTTTTGAGAATACCGAAGTATCCACCAATACCGGAGCTTGCTTCATTACTACCTTTCATTGTTTCCCCACCAGTGGTACTTGACTGAAGCAGTACCGCACCAGGTTCTGTAATCCTAGAACCTCCGAACCTCCGGAGCCTTAAAAGATTCGCGTACCGGGGTGGACAGTGGGGGCCAATGTAGATGCAATGTGGTTTCAGGGTGTCTGTGCAGTGTATCCGAGTTCTTCAGTAGTTGGCCTGCAGTTCTTGAATAACGCCGTCCTTGCCCTGTATGCTGGCTGAATTGGAGATCTTCTGCTTGCCCCACCAGTGGACGCCCTAAACCAGCTTAGCTTCAACTTGCATTTGCCAGCAAAGCCCTGGAAGGACGTCAAGCAAGAGGTGAAGGAGGAGGTTTCGAAAGATGCGCACATGGAAGTGAAGAAAGAGAGTAACGAGGCCTTGGTAGACGCGGAACGAGCTGGCGGCAACGAAGTATCCCTAACACGTTTCATCATGATCATAAGAGGTATTGTCGGAATGGTTACAGCATACAGCCGCTTCCGTGTGGGGATTCGACTTGGCTTGTGCAGGCCAGCCCTGCTCTCATTTTCTTTACCTCATGCTGTCATGGAGGTCGTCAGCTCTCGCCGAAGAATGCGCACAAAGGCTGCCAGGCAAAAAAGGCTCAGATCCGTATAAAGAGGTGTACTCGGAGCAACATGGCGATCCTGGATCCCAAACCCCACATTGCTCTCATCCGCACATCCTATAACCGGTTCTTTTATCCGTATATGCATGGTGCATGTATATACAATAGTAGCGGAGTTAACAGATGATGCATCTGGGGTCTGTGGGTTCCAGTGTTCAGCCACACTTGCAGGGGGAGATGAGCACCTGTATGCAGCGTCGGAATTTAAAAAAAAAAAGCGCAACAGTCAGCCCTAACCCTAAACCCTAAAACCCTAAACCTAAACCCCTAAAACCCGGAGCGCTAGCGTTCCTAGAAGCAGATCCAGCTGGGAAGGCCAAACACGCTTTTGCTGGACTCTAAGGAAGAATCCCAGCGTGTCGCCCTCGATTGAGAATCAGTGCAAAGTCTGCTTCAGTGAAGAGGACGTTTATGGAGGAACAGCTGGACTTGACAAAGCAGGAGCTCCAAACACTGAGCCCAGCTTCGATGCAGGAGTGTGGAAATGGAGGCAATGGTGTGCCGCCTGATCCATCACTGAGCCGGCACCTTGGCCACGGCGGTGGGACCAATCGGCCGTCAAAGCACGACTGAGGATGCTCGTAGTCGTCGCAGTCGTAGCTTGAGATTCAGCATGCCTGAGCTCGCATCTCTCAGGCTTTTGCCGATCGCCAATTGATCTCAAATGCTCTCAAGCAAACGGCAACTTGCTGAACGTCTGGGCCCTGCAGAGCGCATGATTCGGACTGTGAGAGGGCTTTCGCATGCTTCCAAAGGGCAAAGGGGACAGGTTTCTTTCCATATAGTTTCGCGGCTTGGACTGCAGAGTGTGTGTCGAAGTAGCTGGACGGAAAGCTGGCTAGCGAGCTTTTCTTGTTCTCAGTACCCAGTACAGAGTTGTCAGGTTGCGGAAACTGTTGTTCGGCAGATCTCTCAATACGACTTCTGCCTTGACTTGCTGTTTTCAGCCAGCTCATGAAGTTGCCAGCTAGCATTTATCCCCACGCCGGCTCCGTTTCGGTGTGTCGGGTTTAAAGGTCGAGCTGCACTGGTGCACCCGCCTTTGCCAAAGCCGTGTAGCAAAACCCGGTCTTGACCAGGTGCCAGCCTTTGCTTTCGAGTTGACGGCCAAGCTTGGTTACCCGATCACGCCGTGCCTTTGCATGATTACCGCGAGTGGCGGAAGCTACTTCACCAGGATTTCGTGGAGCGGATTGAAGGAAAGCTGTGTTAGGATAGTTTGGGCAGAGGGCCGCGGCGAGTCAGATCGATCGTCGGCTTGGTCCTGTACCCACCAGCTGCTCCCACTCTTTCCGTGTCTCGGGCTTGACGGAGCTCGCTGCTTGCAACTCTTCTACCTTGTATCATGGTCAGCCGGTGCTTTCTTTCCGGCCTCTTCTCCCCCTTCACAAGGGTCGACATTGCCCGGAATGCAAGCGTTAGAGTTAGAGCCTTGAAACCGCGGTCCCGAAACCGAAACACCGAAGCAAGCTCCCAAACCGCAAGGCCGAACCAACAAGCAACAACCTCAGATGCCGACGCTAAACCTAAGCTCACCACTCGCAGGCAGTCCGTCCTCCGCCTCTGGCTTCATCCGCTCACTCAGTGGAATATTGGTCCCTCATGCCAGGCCTTGAACCCTTCTCGTTTGCAGCGACGCAGCGCCGGAATTTTGCGAGGTGGGCTTCTTTGCAGGAGGCTGTACCCCACCAGTTCCCGGGGGAACTTGTGGCGCGCTCGGATCCGGATCCCGCAGCCATCAGCGTGAACCCTCACTGCAGCGGTTTCAGGCTCCAGTCCGATTTGCCAGCCGGAGTCCGTGGTGGGTGGCCGGTTTCTTAGAGAGAGGGAGCTCGCTGCTCACCGGGACAGGAAGGGAACGGCTCCCGCCCCGGCTCTGCTTCGGCTCTGCGTCCCTTTTTCAGGTACGGTTGTGGGCATCGCCTCCTGGCCCATCAACACCTTGAGGCCGCTCCCGGGGGGCCACCTTGGGCCGCCTTGGCTGCTTTTCTCTTTGTTTCTCGGAGAGGATCATTCTCCCCAACATCATGGCTCAAATCACGGACACCACCTCCATGGCCATGGAGGCTTCTGCTCTGTGGGACTCGCTTTGCAAATGTCAGACTTGCCGCCTGCCGGATTTGAAACTTGCCACTACCTGCTGGCGGCTTCTTTGCGTCGGTGGTCACTGCTGAGCTCCAGCCCTACTTCGTAGGGTCAAGCTCGAAGCTCGGGCTTGGCCAACCTTGGGTGTAAACACGACTGTCAAGGATCACGAAAGATGATGGATTTGCCCCCGACTACTGGGATATCCCAAAGGCTTGGCTTGACTCGTTGCCAGATCTGTTTGCCGTTTTCGTGTGACTCTTGGAAGGCGCTTGCAGTTGCTACGGTCCAGGGTGGAAGCGACCAAGCTGACATACTTATGTCATACCTTTCAAACTGACTCTGCATCGTTGGCTCGTTGCGGCGTCGCTTGTGTCGAAGGTTCGCATCTCGTGTCGACAAAGGTTGCAAGGCCATGGTGTGGAATGTGGAAGATATGGTTGTGTCATTGCAAAGGTTGGTGACGGGAATCAGGCCCCCTTCAAAGCCGACAATGGCAACAGGAGCTCAAGCATGATTCGATGCTCTGATGACTATAAAAGTTGAGTTTGGCTCCCTGTGCATGCACGTGGCAGGATTTACGCCCGCCTAGTGTTCGGAACCACGTTCTATGGATTTGGCAACTTGGTGACGCGCCTAGCTGCCAGGGTGGCAGTCAAGAAGGAGGCGAAACATGGGTTGCAGACCACAGACGCATTGGGCTGCAGTATCCAGGTGGAGATTAACTTCAAGCTTCCAGTCGGTCTGGCACTTATCGCATGATAAGACCACGTAGTTGCGCAACCTGTGCGACATAATTACGATCAAGGTTACGCATGCTCAATGACGCAGCAGGGTGGCACTGCTCGACACTCAGAACCCACCAGTTTGAAAGATGACTTGAAGCGCCGAGGCAAATCGATGCGTCAGTCGATTTCTGCTCGTACAGAGTCCAGGTTGGAACTTCTGGAAAACATGTTCCCATCCACGAAGGGTCGGTTGGCTCGCTGCTCAGCGCCAGCTGCACCTGTTTCTTGCACCTGTTCGGATCCTCCGTTTCAGGGCGGCAAACTGAAGTCCGATATCGGAACATACCAGCTTGGACCTTACGAGGGAGGTGCTGGCACCGTCTGAAGCAGTCATGGCCAGTCATGAAACCTCACTTCAGACCAGCCATGCCGTGGAGCGCCCATCGCGCCACATGTTGCCACCAAGAGTTCAAGCTTCCAGGCGACGCCCGACGTTATGTGCCAGCTCACTCTCTTGGCTGCTCCGCTCTTACACCGCCTTCGGACGGAGCAGTCTGTTGCATCAGTTAGCTGTCAGCTGCTACAAGGACATGATTGTCTATGCCAGAACTGCATCGGCCTCAGCCTCTGAGTTGGCTATGCATGACTTTCGACCGTGTGAAGGAGTACTTCGTCGAACTGGTTGTTGACAATCCGACGGCAGCTGACGCGCATGAATGGATTAACGAGATTCCCACTGTCCCTACCTACTATCGCCGTAATTGCTAGTTGGGGGGGAAGTGATGCGCTCATCCTCGAGAGGCCGTGAGCCGAGGATCCACGGCTGTGGGCTCGCTTGATGACCCCTTTCGCTTCAAATCAAAATGAAGGTGCGAGTTCCTGCATCAATAGATTGACTGCCCATGTATTCGGGCATTATTGATTGGAATGGCAACTTTTGTAAATATGTTTCCTGTTTTATACTACCTTTGAATATGTTGAACCTTTGGAGAAGAAGAACTGCGGTTTTAGGCTACTTCGGCGAACTCATGCCTTCAACAACATCTGCAAATCTCAGGTAATCGCATGGCCAGCCTACGTTATTCGTACGGAGCCGGGTGAGATCCACACCATCCTCTGGCGTAGTAATGAACTCGACTGCTAGCCTACTAGCGCCCAGGTCCTTTCGCTTCATTTTCGCTTGATGCCGTCGTGCATGTGGAGATGACCTACTTTATTTCGGGCATCGTTTCCAACTCATCTCAGCACTTGCTATCACTTCAATGCTCCCACGATTTCTGTTCCATTTCCGGCTTGTTTTCCGTCATCTGCCAGTTATCATCAGTCCCATGCTTTCATGGAACCGCGTGTCTGATCTTCCGTAGGTCCTCGCCGTCATGTCCCCGAGGAAAGCGCCACTTTTGCCGCTTTTGCCTTTTAATCCCAGTCTTACCAGGTCACTAGGACAAGCGCACCTTGGCTCAAGAACTCCGGGTGCCTTAGTCCCAGCCCAACAACCTGTGCGCCATGCATTTCCAAGGAGATGCATGTCTGTTGCCATAGTGTTGCAAGTGTATTTACGTGCTCGGTCTTCAGGACTTCGTTTTTGCATTGCCTTGCTACTGCTCGGTGGTGTGGGGAACTCAGGCCCAGGTTGTTTACACTTACGCCCACTGAAGTACAACATTGGCAAGAGCAAGAAGGACCAATCCTCTAAGATGTTATCGTGCTTGGGCAAGCTATGCGCTGTTCTGAGGCAGATGCAGCGAATGGTCCCGAAGATGTGACAGAGGCCCGAAGCATGTATCTGAGCGAGTTGTCTCAGAAGAGGCCGAATTCAAGACCTGACTGGGAGTGCCCCATTCTTGTATCCGTCGCGAGCTCTTTGTGGCTCCCAGGTTCAATAAGTGTCAATAACAATAAGGCCCGCGTTCAACAATGAGGGCCTCAGGTTCCCACCTTGTCTAAAATGACTTGGCCCGAGTCCCAGTAGTCGCTCCTGTCGCTGCGTCGTGAAGTGGCAAGCCCAAAGCCCCTCAAAGAGCCATCAGGTCCTCAAAACCCACAAACATAAGCACAGCACTTGCGTTTCAAGAGCCCGAAACCCTGATAAGAGCTGTGAAGAAACGTTTAGATAGCTTTCTGGGCTATGGGTCCTTACCTTCCTTGGCCGCGGAGGCTCATGATGATCACGATGT